AATCCTATGAATTGTGAATTCAAAAAAAAATAATATTTGATTATCATGTGACAAAACTTTTATATGCTATTTCTTTTATCTTGCTTTAAACAATCATTTTAACCATGTCAAGGCTTGCCCCAACGGTTAAAAAGGTTTCCTTCTCCCTTTTTCATTTTCAGAGCAGCCCAAGGATTAAAATACATTAATTTAACCTTTTCCTTTTGTATTTTTACCTTTCAAATTTGGAACTTGCCCCAACGCGCAAGACACGTCAATTTTACGTGGAGGAATATGATTGGCTTGACGATTGCAGGGACGAATGTCATTGGATTTCCGTAGCAGAATCCACCTCAAACTGTATGTATGTATGTATATATATATATATATATATATGTTCACATCCACAGCCATAGCCACAGGAGAGAACGAAACAAGCTCTTAAATTTAATCGGAACTTTTAAATTAAAACCACTCTCAGTGTCACCAACCCTAGCAAAATCTCAAAACCAATGGCGGATCCTAGCTCTACCCGGCCCTCCTCTTCTACAGACCCGTATGTCTCATCTACTTTTGCTTTTGTTCATGCTTGTGATGCCCCCAACAAAAATTGGTTTGGAAAATTTTGGTGTTTATTTATTTATTTATTATTATTTATCTAGAAATTTTGCAACTTTATGCTTGTACAGACCTAAATTTTGATACTTCTGATGACATGATGCAATTGCTAGTTTTTTGTATGAGTAATCAGAAAAAATCACTAGATTCTTTGGTGTCGTTCTGATTGATGGGCTTTTGTTATTTTGTGAAGAAGGATTGTTATTACTTGTGTGGTTTATTTTTATGAGCTTATTATCTTGAATATGTTTTGAAATAATTGGGAATGGATTCGGTGCAGTACATAGTAATTGGGTTTTAGGACAGTGTCTTTACTGTGCGGTAACGAAACTTGTTTGCGTGTAAATAATTTTAGGAAAAGTGGTAAGAAAGATTTTTCAACTGCGATTTTGGAGCGAAAGAAGTCTCCTAATCGCCTTGTTGTCGATGAGGCCATCAATGATGATAACTCTGTGGTTGCTATGCATCCTGCCACCATGGAAAAGCTTCAGTTTTTTCGTGGTGACACCGTGCTAATTAAGGTAATCTTGGCTGTCAATGGGGTTATATGGTTCTGTTTTTTACCCTTGGGAATTTGTAAAATATGCTTGTTGTAATACAGGGAAAGAAGCGAAAAGACACTGTTTGCATTGTTCTTGCCGACGATCAATGTGACGAACCAAAAATCAGATTGAACAAAGTTGTCAGGGCTAATCTTAGAGTCCGCCTTGGTGATGTTGTGTCTGTTCATCAATGTCCTGATGTGAAGTACGGGAAGCGAGTTCATATCCTTCCTATTGATGACACTATTGAGGGTGTTACTGGCAATATTTTTGATGCATACTTGAAGCGTAAGTTTGCACCTTTTTTTTTCCTCATGATCATCCCGTCTTGTGTTGCAGTTGATTCTATACTGTAATGTTTTATTCTAATGATCTTTCTTCTTCTTTGTGTTTTAACAGCATATTTCTTGGAATCTTACCGCCCCGTAAGGAAAGGTGACCTTTTCCTTGTCAGGGGTGGCATGCGCAGTGTTGAGTTCAAAGTAATCGAGACAGACCCTGGTGAATACTGTGTTGTGGCACCAGACACCGAGATCTTTTGTGAAGGAGAGCCCATCAAACGTGAGGATGAAGAGAGATTGAATGAAGTGGGCTATGACGATGTTGGTGGTGTTAGGAAACAGATGGCTCAGATTCGTGAGCTAGTTGAACTTCCTCTTAGACACCCACAGCTTTTCAAATCAATTGGTGTGAAACCACCGAAAGGTATCTTGCTGTATGGACCACCTGGGTCCGGTAAAACTCTGATTGCAAGAGCTGTTGCTAATGAGACGGGTGCATTCTTCTTTTTGATTAATGGTCCTGAGATAATGTCAAAGCTGGCTGGTGAGAGTGAAAGCAACTTGAGGAAGGCATTTGAGGAAGCTGAAAAGAATGCTCCATCCATAATTTTTATTGATGAGCTAGATTCTATTGCTCCTAAGAGGGAAAAGACTCATGGTGAAGTGGAGAGGCGTATAGTTTCGCAACTATTGACTTTAATGGACGGCCTTAAGTCACGGGCTCATGTAATTGTTATAGGTGCTACCAATAGGCCCAACAGCATTGACCCAGCTTTGAGAAGATTTGGGAGATTCGATCGAGAGATTGACATTGGTGTGCCAGATGAAGTTGGACGGTTGGAAGTCCTTAGAATTCATACTAAAAATATGAAACTTGCTGAAGAGGTGTGTCTCTTCACTACTGCCTTCTTGTGTACTACTTCATTCTTTTCTGTATAACAATGTGAACTTCTGTTTATGTTGAATTTAACATTTGATTCCAGGTTGATCTTGAAAAAGTTGCAAAGGATACCCATGGTTATGTTGGCGCAGATCTTGCAGCTCTTTGTACTGAGGCTGCTCTTCAGTGTATTAGGGAGAAAATGGATGTTATTGATTTGGAGGATGACACAATTGATGCTGAGGTGTTAAACTCAATGGCTGTGACTAATGAGCATTTCCAAACTGCATTGGGAACTTCAAATCCATCGGCCTTGCGTGAAACAGTGAGTTTTTTACAAATACAATCTTTTAGTCCGCTTTTCTTATCCAGTGATTGTTGCTGTTTGGTTTCTTACTGTGTTTTGTCTCTCCTCAAAAAATGGTAAAAAAAAGAGGATTTTATTTTTATTTTTATTTTTTTTGTGAACCAGCTTCCATTGATTTTACATAAAGGTGCCATTTTAAAGTACAGCTTCCCAAGCAGCCCTAGGAAGTAGTCCCTTAGTCCAGTTCTGATTGTTTCGTTGAAATTTGGAAGAAATAATTGTTTGAGCAGAAAAACGTTGGAACTCATCAATGACCCAGCCATAGTTTGACCATTTCTGGTTTGAGCTAACTCAATCCTAACTAGAAAACTCCTCTTCTATTTTCTTAGATGCCTTTCTGATGCTTGTTATAGATTCCTCAGAATGTCAAATGTGTGTTTGATGGGATTTCAATATGCTTCCTGAGAATCACAAACATTGATTCATGGTTGATAGGTTGTGGAGGTTCCTAATGTCTCATGGGAGGACATTGGTGGATTGGAGAATGTTAAAAGAGAGCTTCAAGAGGTTTGCCATCTGATCCCAATTTAGTGTTCTTGCACGTGAAATATATCTTAGATATGCTTCAGCCTTTTACCTTCTTCGTTATTTCTTGGATTTTATTTACATAAATTCTTGTTTTCTGGCTGATGGCAGACTGTCCAATACCCAGTGGAGCATCCTGAGAAGTTTGAGAAATTTGGCATGTCACCTTCTAAAGGCGTTCTCTTTTATGGACCTCCTGGCTGCGGTAAAACTCTACTTGCGAAGGCAATTGCTAATGAATGCCAGGCCAACTTCATAAGTGTCAAGGGTCCTGAGCTCCTAACCATGTGGTTTGGAGAAAGTGAAGCAAATGTCCGGGAGATATTTGACAAAGCAAGGCAGTCAGCTCCTTGTGTACTTTTCTTTGACGAACTTGATTCAATTGCTACTCAGGTATGCATCTTCTAACCTTAAGTGAAGCAAAAGTGTCCCTTCTCATACTTAGAAACTTAATATGCTTGTAAAAATATTCTTCTGCTCCCATCATTAGTGCCTCCTTTTGTCCCCTTCACTATTTGTTTCTTACTAATTTGTTTTTTTCCCTCCTCCTTCCTGGTTACAGCGTGGAAACTCTGTTGGAGATGCTGGGGGTGCTGCAGATAGAGTCCTGAATCAACTTCTGACAGAAATGGATGGCATGACAGCAAAAAAAACAGTTTTTATCATTGGAGCAACAAACAGGCCAGATATTATCGATCCAGCATTGCTTAGGCCTGGGCGTCTGGACCAGTTGATTTATATACATCTTCCTGATGAGGCATCCCGTCTTCAGATATTTAAAGCATGTCTGCGCAAGTCACCTGTCTCTAGAGATGTTGACCTGACAGCTCTTGCACGATATACTCATGGTTTTAGTGGTGCTGATATCACTGAAATTTGTCAACGTGCCTGCAAATATGCCATTAGAGAGAATATTGAGAAGGTAAGAGTCTCATTTGCGATATTATTTTTCATCCTGAGGTTGAATAAGCATGTCTATATTGAAGTTGTATTGTTAGTTTATCTAATCGGTTTGTGAACATGTACCGCATTGCATATGCATGTGCAAACGAGTGCCTGAAGTTGAGTCTATTGTATGTTCTAACCTTTATGGTTTTTAAACACTTTGTTTCTCATGTTGGTTGGCCTTCTCCAAATTTTGCTTTTAGTTCTTGCAAAAATGTGTGTGTTGAGTATCTCTGTTAGTAGGCCTGACAGTTTATGAGTAACTTGAATACTGGTAGGATAGTCAATGAAGAAGGCTTTGACAAATACTTGCTGTCTGTACTTGTCTTGTTCTTCTTCATTGAACCTTTTGGGGAATGGCAGGATATTGAGAGGGAGAAAAGGAAGCAAGAGAATCCTGAAGCAATGGAAGAGGATGATGTTGATGATGTCCCAGAAATTAAGGCAGCACATTTTGAGGAGTCGATGAAATTTGCACGTAGAAGTGTCAGTGATGCAGACATCAGGAAGTACCAATCTTTTGCTCAGACCTTACAACAATCTCGTGGATTTGGTACTGAGTTCCGGTTTCCAGACCATCCTGCCAATGCTGCAGCTGGAGGAGCTACAGATCCATTTGCTTCGGCAACTGCTGCTGCTGATGAGGATGATCTATACAGCTGAACTGAAACCAGTGCAAGTTCTTGGCATTTTCACTTGTGTAATATTCTAACACACCACGGCATATATATATATGCCATAACAGTTTGCTTTTTATCTGTTTTATGTTTCGTGCACCCTGCGGATTATGTAAGAATTTTATGATAATCAGCCCATTATGGGTTGGCTCCTGTCATGAGGTGAAAAAAAGGTCCTGTACATTTTTACTTAATTTCTTCCTTAGTTTCGTTCAAGTCTTTTCCTGGTGTCTTCACTATATTTTCAACTTCTGTCCCGAAAGTTAAATATATAGAAATAGCTAATGCCCAAAACTCAAAGACAGTTGTGGCTTTCCAGCAATGATTTCTTATCAGAAGCTCAGTGAACACCAAATCAAATGTGGATGTAAAAAACGGGAGTTTTCTAGCAATGCCACTCTGTATGTAGACTAGTTTTAAAGAAGGGTTTTTCCAAAAACGTAGCTAATCCTCCTATGAATAACTATTTAGAGGTTAAAAAGGCTACCAATTATAAGATTTTGCCATTTCCCTACAAAGCCTCATCACACCGGTGGTCTGGTCTGGTAAATCATCACACACTGTAAAAAGCGTCTTAAATATGTGTTCTTTTTGCTTTTATTGGTTTCTGAATTAAATGACATTAAACTTTTCGAAGTTTGACCAAACGAATTTTTAAAGTCAGAAAATCTAATTGCCAAGAAGAGCAAACCCTAAAAGATATTTCCTTCCTTTCAGCCAATTCATCTCTTTACACAGCCAAACCAAGTGTCCAAAATGGTAAAGCGTCATGAAAGTGAACATTATCATCAACAGAGTGCCATGTGGGATCCGCCCAATGCATGTGGATGGGACCTTACAGCTATATAAAATACAAATATATGAGTCTTATGATCTACTTTGGGAATCTTTTATATACATTAAAAAAAAAAAAAAAAGTTATAACCAATTTGAAAGACGCCTCTGCTGATGGGCTGCAAGCTTCTGTATTTTTGTATTAACCTGCATGTGCACATGTGAGCACAAAGAAACAACTACCCCAGTGGTATCTTTCCTTACCAGAGCGTACCTTTTTTGCATGACTTCATTAGTATGAGATAGAATCACTCTCAATCCTGCCAACTCATCTCTTGCCTGAAATTCACACCGAAAAAACAGAGGGAAGGAAAGATTTTTAAAGATAATGCATTATATTTTGCTTCACCCCACCTAAGGGAACTAGACAAACAAGTTTCTGTGGAAATGGAGAAGAATCTACATGCTTCTGCTCTCAACTTCAGGCTCCTTAGATCCAGTAAAAAAAAAAATAATTACAAGTGCCTGGATGAATTAGATTAAGTAGTGGTACTATGATTGAGTTCTGAGATTTAATTTTACAAGTAGGCAGCCAATCTTGGTATCGATTGTTATTGATTACTAATTTTTTTTATGGCTTTTTTTCTGTATGTCCAGTTAGTACTTTCCTACGATTCTATATCTTCTTCACGTGGTAGGGACCTTGATAGTTGCATGAAACCAAGGGTAGAAGCTCTCTTATCCTTGATGGTCTGGAGAGAGGGAGAGAGAAGCTATTTTAAGTTCGCATCCTCAATCATTACCCCCGCATTTCCCTATGGCCACACATATCTGTCTCTCAATTCCATATCCCTAGAGCCTAGAGCAAAATCATCCTCGAAAACCCTTTAAAAACCTCACAAAAATAACACCACACCCACCCACACATATCAATCAAGACATCCACATCCTCCTCCTCACATGAATCATGGAAAATGACTTCACATTGAAGCGAAGATATATAGCTTCCCCTCCCCCTACTTTTACTCGTATTTTCCTTTTCATTTTCTTTGTCTTTCATTATTGAAAATGTTGTTGACAGAAGAAACAAAATCACAATAACACCATTCACTAGAGAGTGGAGAATAAATGCAAATTGCTATGTACTGATCGATTTTATCATCTTCATACCAAGCCATTGATCAATGAAATAAAACCCTTGTGGTGCTAACTCTTTTATGTATTTCCCTATTCTAAAAAACAATACTAATAGTGGAATAACTCTCAATACTGCACAAGGAGTTTGCTATTGATTAGTACTTGACGTAATGCTAGCTGATGAGGAAGAATAAGCAAGCGAGCAACGAGAAGACCCTTGCTGAAGCATCAATAATTGAGCTGGGGTCACCGAGGATGATGAATACGACGGATTAGTTTCCGTCGGCTTTGATGACTTGTTGGTCGGCTTGTGGGCCTCGCTGCCTACGATCGGTTCCTGTCGAATTTCCCTCAATAATACTGCCACATCTTTCATTGTGGGGCGATCTTCAGCGCGATTGCTTGTGCAAAGAAGAGAGATTCCAAGAGCTTGAACCATTTCTTGTATTTGTGTGTCTGGGTGGCCTTGCAGTTTAGGATCAAGTATTTCGACTGGGTCCTTCTTGCACTTCAGGTGGTCTCTGACCCACTGGACAACATGTTGGCCTTCCGGAAATGATGGATCGACCGGCTTTTTCCCGGTTATCACCTCTAAAAGGACAACTCCATAGCTATATATATCACTCTTTTCAGTGATTTTAAGCATGCAAGCATACTCTGCAATTCACAAACATAAAAAGTTGTGCGTAAGCAAAACTAAGTAACTGCAGCAAGTTCACAAGTCTAGCTATAATTTGAAATCATGGATGGTTGAAAAAACGGTCGTGGTCGTCATCGTGAATTACGACTTACTATAATACTAAAATAACGATAATAATATACTCCGAAATCCTTACATAACAGTCGTTATACAACATAACGACCGTTATTTAAACCTATGAGTCTAGCTACAAAAGTTTTGGTATTAATGCAGGGTCAAGGACATTTCACTCACTGCAGAAACTTTTGGCTAAAAGTAGTATCGATGGATTGGTGCATGCAAACTGTTGCCAGTTGCCTAATAAAATAACAAAACAAGTTAATGTGACAACAATTAAACAGCTTGTTGGGATGTGATTTAGCTACCTAATTACAACTAAGGGCTTTTGATGATTATGCGTGTTACACCCATCTCCAAAACTTGCTTTTAAGTCTCCATCATCACTAATCCCAACTAACTGGCTTCTCACATAATCACATATTTGTCTCATCCCTTCTATCGTATTCACCGAGATATTATTCCAATTAAGTGTCCAATAATCACACATTTGTACTTAAACAAGCCAATTATCACAATCTAATGACAAATCATTATCACACAGTTAATAATCAAAACTCACCTGGTGCAATGTATCCATAGGACCCTGCAAATTGTGGATTTGCAGAGAATGATCCATGCTCATCTTCAACCAGCCTAGCCAGCCCGAAATCGGCTAAACATGCCTCATACCGGTCCCCTAGCAAGATATTATGAGCTTTCACATCTCGGTGCAAAATCGGTGGCACGCAGTCGTGATGTAAATAAGCTAGCCCTTCTGCCACCCCTAATGCAATCTTGAACCTCGTCTCCCACTCCACCAATCCAACATCATTCCCTTCATGTAACAATGCCCCTAACGTGCCATTAGCCATGTAATCATAAAACAACAGCTTTGTTCTCCGGTTTGCTCCCCACCCGAGTAACCGGACAATATTTCGGTGTCGAATTCTCGCCAATGTAGCAATCTCGGATGAAAATGATGCTGCTGAAATCTTCTCTGTTGCTTTAAACCTCTTAACTGCCACCACCAGTCCTGACGGAATGGCAACCTTGTAAACCACGCCGGACCGGCCTCGCCCGATCACGTTGCCAGCTGTCAACGATCGTGCCACATCAGCTACTGACAAGTCTAGTTTCTGGTATAAAGTCACTTCCCAAGGGGGCCCAGCTCCACATCATCGTCACCATCGCACTCATGGCCCCCACGACCACGCTTTTTGCTTCCCAGGATAATGTAGAGCGCTGCCAAAAGGAGGGCACACGCTGTACACAACAGCACCACCATTGCCACACGCGCTGCCGTCGCGCGCTTCACGCGCTTTCCATCACCATCACACTGGTTACCGGAGAAGCAAAGAGCTGGGTTACCGGAAAGTACACTGAGAGGAAGCTTCGAAAAGAAGGGGGTGTCAGGCACGTGCCCCGAGAAATTATTGTGCGAGACATTAAGCACGACAAGATTTTGCAATGCTGCGAGATGTTGAAGATCGCCAGTAAGATGATTGTAGGAAATATCCAAAATGCCAAGCTTGTTTAACCCAGTGAACTCTGACGGAATCTCTCCATTAAGTTGATTCGAGCTGAGATTCAAAGCGATTTCCAATGCTGGAATCTTTCCAACACTTGACGGAATGTTCCCTGATAACTGATTTCCACTCAGGTCCAATAACTGCAACTTGGAGCAGGAACCGAGTTCACTCGGAATGGAACCAGAGAGCCTGTTCTTAGCAAGAATGAGCTTGGTGAGTGAACTCAGTGAACCAAGACTTGGACTCAATGTTCCTTCGATCAAATTATTAGAGAAATCAACAAACTGGAGTGGCACAAGCTTGTTAAAACTCTGTGGCAAGTTACCAGAAATAGCATTTGAATGCAAATCCAAAAATGTCAGATTCTGACAACCCGAGATCTCTTCCGGGATAATTCCAGTAATCCGGTTTGATCCGAGATCCAAGAAGTTCAAATTCTTCAAGTTTCCGATCTGGAGTGGAATTGTTCCGGCAACCTTGTTGTTGTTAGCTCGAAAACGAATCAAAGAGGAGCAGTTTCCAATCTCAGGCGGTATTTCCCCGGAGAGATTGTTGGAAAGAAGCAAGAGTTTGTTGAGTTTCTTCAGCTGAAAAACTCCTTTTGGAATAGGCCCCACCAGACCATTTTGAGAGAAATCTATGGCTTCTAAATTTTGACAGTTGGAAATGGAAGACGGTATGTTGCCTTCGAGTTTGTTCTGCCATAAGTAAAAGAGTGTGAGATTTGATAAGTTACCTATTTCAAGTGGGATTGAGCCACTGATTTGATTGTTGTCCAGTTCGATGTGAGTTAGCTTCTGGCAGTTTCCAAGTTGTGCAGGGATTTCTCCGGAGATTTGATTGAGGCTAAGTTGGAGTTCTTGAAGTTCAGTTAGATTACCGAATGACTGCGGAATGCTTCCGGTTAATGAATTCATTGAGATGTCAATGACCAACATTTGGTTGCAGCTCCCGAGCTCCGGAGGGATGATACCGACCAAGTTGTTTTGCCAGAGCAATAGGTTTTTAAGGTTTTGGAGTCTGCCTAATGTTTTCGGGATTGATCCGGTGAGTGAATTTTCATAAAGGTATATGTCTTGGAGTGCGGTGCAGTCACTGAATTCTGGAGGGATTTGGCCGGAAAGGAGGGCGGTGTAGATAGCAATGGTTTGGAGTTTTTTAAGGAGGCCGAGGCTTGGTGGGAGAAAACCTGAGATGCTTGTTTCTGCTAGGCCTAACATCAACAAATTGCTGCAGTTGCCAATTTCTTGGGGTAATGAGCCTTCAAGATTCTTGTTTCCACCGGCTCTAATCACTTCAAGATGCTTCAACTTGCCTATGGTGTTGGGTATGGAACCGCTAAGTTGATTGTCGTAGAGGAGTAGCCATTTCAAGCTAGTGAGGTTTCCGATTTCGATTGGAATGGAGCCCTCGAGTTGATTAGAGTTGAGAAGGAGTTGTTCAAGCTTGAGCAAGTTACAAAGCTCGTTTGGGATTTCGCCGGTTAAGGCATTGCCACTCAAGTCTAAGTGAGTCAACCGTGGAAGAGCAGTACCAATCTCTTTTGAGATTGAACCAGTAAGATTGGTTCCAGATAGAACAAGCTTGTTTAAGGAAATCAAAGAGGTGAAATTGGAGGGAAGTTTTCCAAACAAATCGACATACCTCAAATCCAATGCTACAGCTTCATTGTCAAAGTTGCAAGTGACTCCAAACCATCCACATGGAGTTTCATCGCTTGAATCCCAATTATTTAACCCCTCAGGTGACCCGTTCAAGCTTATCTTCCATGAAAGAAGAGTTTGGCCTTGCTGGTTGACAGCAAAAGCTGTAGAAGGGAAGACAGTTACAAGGGCAGAAGAGAGGATTAAGAAAGAAAAGAGGGGGCATGGATTTACAGGCATTACAGCTATGCTACAAACTCCAATGAGAGGAAGAGGAAGGAGGAGGGTTTGAGCCTAGGGAGGAGGGACAATGGGAGGAACCAAATCATGTCTTGTGGGCTATGTTCTTTGTTTTTAGTTTTATAAAACAGGAGTAGATGTGGAATAGTATAAACTAATTGCAAGAAACCCAGAATCTCCGGATCCAAGAAACAGCTAGGCCATTATGTTTTCTGCACAAGGAAATGGAATTTTAGATGGGTATTTTTAGTATTTCTTTTCTTTACTTACAGCAGAGACAGAGAATAGGTTGGGGGGAAGAGAAGATAACTGCTTTTTAATTTGAATGGGTGGCTTAACTGACTTTGTATACACCTTTTCTTTTTTTCTTTTTTTTTTCCCCAGTTACTGCTTCAATTAGGTCTAGAAGTCCGACCCAACTCTCTCTTAATTGCAATTGATTTCAAGGAAAATAAAAAAGTTTATATTTTGAAGTTAACATCAATTAAATTCTTTTAAATATATCAAACCATAATAAATAAAAGATATATATACTAGAAAAAGAAAAAAAAAGCATGTATTGAGTGGGGTTAATGAAAGAGGCAATTACAGAATAAATTCTTGAATTATCTGAAAATGAGTTGTAGCTTGAATGTGAAAATAAAATCATTACCCAAATAGGCACAAAATATGGAGATGAAAATGATTGGCAAACCTCCTCGAGTTGGTTCGGAGAAATATTGCTTCAAGTGGCATGATCTTGCATGTTAGTTGAATCAATAATTTATGCACTACTGATATCTTTTTGAATTTCTTTTTTTCAAGTTTCGATGTCTATGAATGGACACAAATTGCCTTTTTTTTCTTTTTCTTTTTTCCCCCCAAAATTTCGCTGAAAAACCCATTTAAAAGCTGCACATATGTTGCAGGAAAAATAAAAGCTGCGCATAAAAATAATATACAGGTTGGTAGTGAAATTGGATCTAATGCACTCAAATATATTATTAACGTCGAGACCTGCAGAAAGAGTTGAGATTCAGATCTAAACCAGAGTTAGAAAAATAATGGCAGATCATGCATGCTAATGGGATCTGTGACATGGTCCTTTTGTACTACAGAATAATTCAATCATTTAAAAGCATCCTCATATAATATATATATATATATAAAATACCCAATCAAATATTGTACCGATTAGATACACCAAATCCATAATATAATTAACCAGATTTATGTGTATGGTGATGAAGAAAAAAATCAAAATATTTTTAGACTCTGCAACGTCCACCAACAAAATCAGATACCATTCATTTTGAAAAACAAATCCCATTAAGGTTTGTAATATGAAAAATTAAGCCATCACGTGATGTGGGGGGTGATGAGGAATGCCAAACTGCAATATCTATGATTTGGCTAAGTTATAGGAATTATTGGACCTACATATATAATCCACGACTAACGCACGCATATTGCTTGCCTCGTGACGGTGTTGTGCATTCGTATTATTTTACTTCGAAAGAAATAATCTTATAAAACAAGTGAGTCTGTGCCTAGTAGGAATCTAAGCACGATCGAGATGGGGGGCTAACGCATGAGAGAGAGTTTAAAAGACAAAACCATCCATGGGGTTGGACAGCTTTTCCGTGTAATGGGTCCTCCTTTTGTCCATGGCCAAACAGGTAGGAAGAGACAAACACCCAAAAATAATATCACAACAAGTACCTAGAGTAGTCCCCTGTCTACCACCTTGCCATCAGCTTCATCGATATATTTCTTCCTTCCATCAATCATTACTCCTCCTTCTATATTAACAAGAAAACATATATGTATATATCTATTAAAAATTAAAAAAAAAAAAAAAGAGTGTTAACTATTTAATCACCATGCATTTATGTGTATTAGCGTAATTTTTTATATTTACTATTCACTTGTTATTATTGTATTTTTGTTATTTGTTCATGTATTTATTATAGTATTGCTGTGATTTTCAGTTTTTGTTCTTACATTTATGATAGTATTGTTATGATTCTCGATTTTTATTTTGTCATAAAACTTTAACAAATATTACACTTTGATTTTTTTTTCTTAATTTTTTTTTAAAAATTAACAAAAATTCAAGTGTTTTTCTCGTAAAATTGTTCATCAATTCGCAGAAATTCATGTGTTTTTCTGCAAAATTGTTGATCAATTCTGCAGAATTGATGAACAATTTCATAGAAACCATCAATTCTTCCAAAAATAATCCTAAATTCTCGGAAAAGTATCTAACTTTCAAAAATCATCCAAACTCCCGTAATTAAACAAAATTCCCATAAAGCATTCATAATTCCCAAAATCATCTAATTGGCAATTAATTGACAAAATAAGAATGCTTCAAATTCATTAACAACAACAAAATAAGCAACAAACATCATCCATTACACATAATTAGCATTCTAAAATTCAAATTAATGGACCAATTATATATAATTAATTGTTTAAAACAAAAGAATGATCCATTAATAATAAAAAAAACATTTACAAAAATATTGATCATTTTCCATAATGTTCCCAAACACCAACAATTCATCATTGATTCTTTCTTGGTCTTCCTCTTGTTTTGACTGGTGGATTGCTTAGATTTCTACCCATTCTCATTGGTTCAAGTTGTTGTTGAGTTTCTTGTTCATTTGGAGGCTAAGTGTCCGGGTTTATAAATTGTGAAATACATGTTTTAAACTATACAAATTGTAAACATCAACAAAAACTTACATTCCAAATTAGAAAATCATGTATCAAGATTCACATATAAGCTATATGTGTATCTAGGAAGTTCTCTATCGACAAGATTGAAGGAAGTAGTTATGATTCCTAATTCATGTGTTGCAATCAATTCTTGCACTAGCAATTAATAATCCGAAATTAGGTTTTTTGTTGTATCAATTGATGCCGCGAAGTTGAAACACTCGTTGACCCATCTTGAAATGCAAATAAATAAAATTAAAAGCTATTTCTTATAATGTTTAATACTCATATTATTTAGAATTAATAAAAAAAAAAAAACAATCTTTCTTTTCTTGCGAGAACAAGTCCTTGAATTGTGACCTTTTTTATAACATTGGGAACAATACATAACTTTTTATTTTCTTGATAAATTCCACCATCCATTTTTTGCTTCGCACTCTTCTCTAACCTTTTTATTCTTTCTCTTTTTAGCCTTCTTCTTTAGTGATGAAGGGTCAATAGGGGTAAGTTCTTTTTTCTCTTAGAACTTCTTCCCATTAACAACTTGCAAAGCAAATCGATAAGACTTCATAAACATCTCCTTTTTGTACCAATGGGATAAATAATCTTGTGGCTTCTTATTCATACTTTCTAGTGCACGAATGACATGGACACAAGAAATTCCACTAATATTTCATAGTTTACAACAATATTTTTTAAGAGGCATATTAACAAGATATCTATCTCCAAATTGCCTAACTTTATAACCATCATCTCCATTCTATATTATTTCAATAGTATGAATCAAATCTATTTGCTTTTCAATCTTTGTGCCTTTGATCCACAATCTCCCTTGAACCTAACTTAACCAAATTGCCTCCTTTATACTATTCTTGTCATTATCATCACTCTGCTATCCTCCAATATTGCAATGATTGATTTGTATCTAACCTGAAACAAGTTGCCATTAAATCCTTCACAAATGTTGTTTTCAACAACATCACATTTATTATGTGATTGAAAAAAAAAAAAAAAGCTTTGCTCCATGCTATTATTTCAACTTTTAACATAACTTCTATTGATTTTCATGTTATCTCCTTAAGTGCTTTTATCCAAATCAAGTTGGTTTGTAGCTTTTGTTCAAGCTCGTAATTTTTTATGAAGCTCTTTACCCTTATGTTTCTTTCTCCAATTAACAAATATATGCCTTACATAATTTATATGCTTGGCATATGGCATTAACTCTTTGATTGCTTTCTCAAGACCCTACTAAAAAAAATATATTAGTAAATAAATGTTAATGATTGTCATTTTTAAACTACAATTCTAAATCAAAATATAGAATTAAGAAGTTCAATGGACGAGAAAAATCTTACTTTTTGTTGGTTTGTCATTAGTGTCCAATGGTTGTCATTTCCAAACTTTATATCCAAATCTCTCATTAAGTGCTCAATAAACCATCTCCAAGTGTACTTATTTTTACCATTAACAACGATCCAAGCTAAAAAAAAACATCCGATTATCCTCATCTCTTCCCATAGTAATTAAGATCTCATTTTTATACTTTTCTTTCAAAAAACTTCCATCCATTCCAATAATAGGCTAGGATCCTTCCTTAAATCCTCTTTTAAGTGGATCAAAACAATGCATACAACCTTCAACGAGTGGATTACCTCCACTACTAGGCCTAGTAAATCGGTTTTCAATGGTGCTTTCTTTATTACTCCTCTTCAACTCTTCTAAGTAGTTTTGCAACATGGAGTCCTCACCACTCGTCATCACCATGAAAATGTCTCTCTATAATTTTGTTTGCTCTTCTAACTTGGTTAGGACTTATGTTACAACATAATTTCTCTCTAGCTTGTGTTTTCACATCTTTTTTTTTTTTTAATCAATTTTCAAAGTAACAATCCTAAAGTTTTTGATTAAGTACTTTGTTACAACCTTAGCTTTAATCCTCCTAGTCTTAAATGCAACCTCGACAAGTATATTCATCTACATATATTCTAAGTTCAAAGTTACATGTTTGCCTTTTATATCTTACATAGAATAGTCATTCACATTTTTAATCTCTACACTTTGCTCTAACTCTTTATCTCGTCACACTTAACAAATTCAATCTTCCTTGTTTTAACCACACAATAATTTTTTAAAGTTTGAATGATTTGTTTCTTACTTGTAAAAGCTATGCCAAGTCAAAACTAAAGATCTTTGATAGTGTCATCGAAATACATAGTTTTGGACTTTTTTGTCCTCGTATGATATGTATCACCATCATCATCACCGCTTGATTCAAGACTTTCATGCTTATTCGAATCAAATTCATAAAAACCTAGACAATTACCTATTATTCAGTATCATTACCTCTAGTTCTTTGGCTATTGAATTATGGAGTATCAACTAGTGATGTTTTAAGGACGAAGTAATATATTTTTTTACTCTTATATTGTTTCAACTCGCAAAGTTATTCCTAGTAGCTACTAGCTCTTGATTATCATTATTAGTACATCAATTAATTTTGCCTAATCATCTAGCTCCAATACATTATCATAACCATTTCCATCATCGTCATTGTCTTTTAAACAAGACACATTATTTTCTTCCTCTTCATTGCCCACCCCTTACCGTTGCTCTCAACATTATCACTATCTTTCCTCTTATGGTCATCTAACACAAGCCCTACCTCAATGTTTCCAAAAGCACATTTGATATTGTGTTGGGTTTCATGCTACCCATGTTTCCAACAACAACCATCCATATTATTAAATTATCCTTCCCCACTAGTTACATCAATACCCTCATTTTCATAAGAAATTACAACATCAATAAGCCCAATGCCACTACTCGCCCTCATAATTCCTACTATCAACATCCATATTTGTCCCCACAAGTTATTTTTTGACCACATTGTCATTACCATACTTGAGATCAATCAATTCATTCCCAAGTTTCACTAACATATTTGCATCTTTCATAAAAAACTCCATATTTCCTTGCTTAAGAAAATCATCCAAATATGGAAATAAAGACTCTTCATTATACATACATATCAATTGAGTTTCTAATGTCTCACCATTTTTCAAGACCTTACGAGTGTATCTTTTAAGGATCAATCCACCCATGACTTCTAATAAGTCGTTTCAAGGACAAAAATGAAAAAAAAAATCAGTTTCAACCAATTTATCTCACACACACCACTAATGTACTTCAAGTCGGGATTTCGAACAAACTTTCCTCCTATATGTAATAACAAGGCTGAATTTGACATTTCACCTTAGATTTTGACTAAACACCGACAAAAAGCAAAAGATGACAATAAAAAAGACAAGGACTTATAAAAGATCTAACCCCTAATTCCCTTCAATTAGCCAAAAACCTAATTGAGATCTCACCCTTAAGAGACTATCCCAAGAATTCTAGCAATTCTCTCATAATCTTGCTATCAATCTCACAATCTCTCCCTTTCTCTCTGTCTCTGTCTCTCTAGTTTTCAATTAAGCTTTCCCCGTTTTAAATTAAGTTTTTATGAGAGGAATTGAAAGGGATAAACTCGTCATCTACCTTACTCCTCTCAATTCCTCTAGGCTTCCATTAAATAACATGTAAGTTGCATATTCTTTGTTATGAAATATTAAAACCTCGTTAAAAAAGAAAAAAATTATCACAACTCTAAATCTTAAGATATTTTATCTTATCTTAGGAGTGAACATTATTTCATTTAAATAGAAAAAATAAATCAAACCAAATTATCTATTTTAGTTTGGTTTTTAACTCAATTTAAGTAAAAAAAAATAAACATAATTTATTTTGGATTTTTAAATTTTTATTCGATTTAAACCAAAAATCAAATATATATTAAACAAACCCTATTATCACTAACACATTATGTAGTAACACTCTCTCAAATCTCAACCACCTTCCTCTCACTCTCTAAGCCACCTCTCACATTCCTAGGCTCTTAGCCCTCAACACACACTCTTTCAACCGCCTCCCAACCTAGTTGCTAGTCTTCTTACAGTACCACCGATATGTTTCCTTGTTAGTTTTTCTCACTCATGCATGGTCGCACATCTCTTCCCATCAACCTTATTTGTTCCTTTCGCCTTTTCCTTTCCTCACTCTCTCTCATAGTCGCACTCCCTAGTCTTTTCCAAACTTAAAAAGAAACACCTACCACCCCCCTAGCCACACCTCGCCACCAACTAGGTAGCCAACACAACCCACTAGTAAAATGAAGTAGCAAACAACCACCACGATCCACCAATTAAACAAAATAGAAGAAACATTAAAATAAGATTTGAAATTAAAATTAGACGTGGGTTTGAAAATTTGACAACAATAGACAATGAAAATTCAATTTAGGCTTAGTAGAAAGTTTTTTCAATGTTGTATGATGCCTTGTCTATAAGACTTGTGTTAAGTGTGGAATTGGACAACCTACAAGCCAATTCTTAGCATGGAGTAGCTGACATGGAAACATTGTTTCAAGCTTTTCTACCCAATCTTAAACGCTTTTTGGTCAACCTTGGTTGTATATAAATTATTAGTAGTGAGCTAGGTTAAGCTTTTTAAGCTTTTGATCTTCTATTTCTTTTCGTACTTGATTTACTTATAGTGTGCTATATTCAAATTTATACATTGTTTGCTCAACTTCGTTTCAAGCTTTTGATTGATCTTCACAATTACAAGTTAGGTTAGTTCATCCATCCTTAAAATTGAAAAGTTGATCTGCCTTGCAAAATGTTTTTCAATTATTTTCTACTTATTTTATTACAAAATCATCTTAGTTGAAGCCAAGCATAAAAGAGTTTGTAACATTATATGAATCCCATCAAATGCATTATTTATTGTTTGTAACACTAGAATTTTTAGAAAAAAAAATTATTAGTCCGAAAGATGTGTCAAGGTTCACAACCTAGAGTTTACTCATATTTCATATTCTTCTTTCTAATGTTGTGTATTTGCATTGATAGGTAATTCAAAATCTCAAAAATATTTTCTATTGTTGGTAGATGCTTTGGTCACGATTAAGGATATTAAAAATACCTATATTGGTCTTCTTAATAAAAACATAAAAATTTGAATTTTCATCAAAAAAACCAAAAATTAAAATTCTATTTAATTCAGATTTAGTTTTTTTTCGAGAGGTTGGTTAACTAAAAAACTGAATAAAAATATTAAAAATCGAACTGAAAAATCGAATACTCACCCTTACACGATCTCATACACTTCACATGCTTGAAAAGGTAAATCTTTCATCTTTAATTTAATTTTGTGGCCATTAGAGAGTGTTTGAAAGTATTTATCACGAGATCCATGAATATGTCAATTATATACTATCTTTAATAGTAGAAATTCACTTCTCGAATATATAACATGGTGGAAAAAATTGTGAGACTCACAGCGGTATTTCTTCAAAATTGCTTGCCTTTCGTTTTGTGCTC